TTTTTCTACTTATTCAAAAATACTTCAGGCCCCCAGTTTTACTGTTATCATACGGATGATACCATCTGTACTGATCGATATATGTTGAAAAAATCTGATTTTAAACTAATTTTTATTCATCATTTGTGAAAAATTTACAGCTGTAGTTTATAGCTATATTTATAGCTGAATTTTATACATTATTATAGCTATTTTATAGGTAGTTATAGCTATAATTATAGCTATAAATTATAGGCATGTTAATAGCTATAAATTTTTGACTGAGAATCTTTTTCGACTAGTGGGTAGCGCATAGATCCTCCGACATATTCACCCATATGATAGCACCAACTGCATCCCCAATATCCATTGAATTGAATACGGTTTTGCATAAGAGGTCTTAGCTACATGTTGTTTACTAAAACAAAAACTTGAAAAACGAATAAAAAAAAAAAAAAAAAAACAATAGTTTAGTACTCACGATGGTTGAACTTTGTGAGAACGTCGTGCACAAATACAGTGCTCACGAAGTTCAACCATCGTGAGTACTAAACTATTGTTTTTTTTTTTTATCCGTTTTTCAAGTTTTTGTTTTAGTAAACAATAACATGAATGCAGTACTAACGTTTACAGAGCTCCATTCTTCCTGTGGGTCTGGCGACCCCCTTGTTACCTGAGAAATTGTGTCTATACTCATCTCATGTTTAAAGAACTTCGTTCTGACCGTTTGTCCTATGACCCATAAATACCCCCTGGTTTGTTGTTTTAATTTCCTTTATAATTTTTTCATGTGTTTTTTTTTTTTTTTTAATTTCTTGTTTTATTTTTTTCTTTATTTCTTGTTTAATTTTTTTTTTTTTTCATTTCTTGTTTTATTTTTTTTCATATTTTTTAATCAACAGAGTGACCAGTAAGCGCCCCTGGTCATTGGGTGATAGGTGCTTGTATTATTAACAACCTATTAATCAATAGAGTGGCCAGTAAGCGCCCCGGGTCATGTGTGATAGGCGCTTGTAGTATTAACAACCTGTTAATCAAGTGACCAGTCCACTCACTTTGAGTTTAGCGGAACAGTGGAACCCCCTTTTTAATATGAACGTTAACAACGAAATAAGCAAAAAATGTCTATGTGAATAGCTCCTATGGGGGCTATGGGCGTAATCCGCAATCGCCGCCAGCAGTTACATATGTAAGACGTGACAACGTTGCGTGGTTGGGGGCGCTACTGTCGATTTACTGGTGATGTGATCCGCAATCCCACCAGCAGTAAAGCAGACGTCAGTCTACTTGCTCTTTTTCGTGACATTTTTGCTGTGATTCCGCGCAATCCCGCCAGCAGTAAAGCTGTTATTTCCATTTTTGTTTTTGGCACTTGAAACTATTTTTTTTTGGTCTGCGTGTTTGTTTACGTCTAGCACAATATGCTTTGTTTACAATCAGAAAATGTCACGAAAAAGAGCAAGTAGATTGACGTCGTCTGCTTTACTGCTGGCGAGATTGCGGATCACATCACCAGTAAATCGACAGTAGCGCCCCCAACCACGCAACGTTGTCACGTCTCACGTCTTACATATGTAACTGCTGGCGGCGATTGCGGATTACACCCAATGTGAATAGCTCCTAAGAGAACCGAATCGAACCAAAAGGGGCTTGAACTAACCTTATATGGTAGTGAGGTGTGTGAGTGTGCGTGTGACAGTGTCATACGTCATACTGTCATTGCTATAGTAACGTATAGTACGTCGTCATCATTCTGTCAACGATTGTGTACCTAGACACAGATATAAAAATTTGAAAGGTTAGTCAACGTTTTCATATAATTGCTGAAAATATGGAATAAAGAAAAAGATTTTTACAAAACGGCAGCCAAATTATGCGACATCAATAGATCAATAGGCAAACGAATTTCAAAAAGTTCTTGGGTTGAAAAAGACCTATCATATTTCTCAGCCTTCATCTGTATCTCAAACAACGCGAACATTGAATGCCTGTTTTGAAGTCTTGAAAATTTATTATATAATGGCTCAACTGTCGCTGTTTAAAAGCATTTTACAAGACTTTCCCAAGAGCACGAAATTCTGCTTCGCTTATGGCTCCGGTGTCTTTAAGCAACTCAACGAACCAACAAAAAACATGCTTGATCTCATTTTTGTTGTTCGTAATCCTTATCAGTGGCATACCGAAAACCTCATTAAAAATCCAAACCACTATGCTCAACCTCTGAAGCTCCTTGGTCCAAAAGCCATTGCAAAAGTACAAGAATCAGGTGGTGCACGCGTGTACTACAATACACTCATCCAGACATCCAAGGGCAGAGAAATTAAGTATGGTATTGTATCTGAAATATCACTAGTTGAAGATCTACTGGATTGGAATATGCTTTATTTAGCCGGAAGGCTGCACAAGCCTGTGCAAATTATAATGGAGCCAGATGAAAATTCTCAACTAAAAACAGCTTTAGTGCAAAATTTGCATTCAGCTATGCATGCTGCGCTATTACTTTTGCCAGAGTACTTTACCGAAATTCAATTGTATAAAACAATAACTTCACTGTCTTACAATGGTGATTTCAGAATGTTTTTTGGTGAGGATAAGAACAAGATTAGTAACATTGTTGTATCACAGATGACTGAATTTAGAGAACTATATGCACCAATATTGAAGCATTTTGCACAATATATCGATATATCAACAAATGGCAATGGGCGTAAAACTTGCAGTCAAGATCTTAGTATTCAAACTAAGATATATCATCTACATCACTTGCCACGTACACCTCAAGTTAAGCTTGTTAGAGCCTGGTCACAAGGTCCAAGATCTAAAGATACTGAAGATTGTTTTAGAGCCATTGCACATGATCCTGACTCAAGTGAAATTTTTTACCACTGTCTTACAGACATTGTGAGGAAATCAAGTGTATCTCAAAGTTTCAAGGGAATTCTTACTGCAGGTGTAGGAAAAGCTATTAAGTATAGTGGAGGAAAAATAATAAAAATGATGAGGTCAACCATGCAAAAAAAACAACTTTCACTTGTTATTTCAGCAGCTGAAGATAAAAAAGAAATATTGAGGCCAGAGTTGAAAATTGAGAGGCAGAGAAGTACAAGTGGCATCAAAAAAAACTGACTGAATATTATATCTGTTACTGAAGTTGTCTATTTTTATCATCTATGTGATTAATAAAGTATATAAGTGCTTTTAAAGTACATAACGCCTTTGATTCGTGATGGAATTTTACTATTTATAAGTAGATGGGTTTTCTTTGTTTTTTATTTTTCAATTCACCTTTCTCTATTGCATTTTATATGCTATTTGCTATATGTATAAAAAAAATACTTAACTTTGAGTAACGTTGAATGGATCATGTAATAAATATTGAAAAATAATAATTGTGATTAAAAAATTCTGCACAAACTATATTTTTCAGAGTTGTGGTTACGGAACCCAGCATTTTATAAGATAAATGTTTTAAGAAAGAAATGTTGAAAAGTACTTATATTTTAATGTTTCAGAGCCCAAGAACTGGAAACAATGAACTCAGACTCAGAGAGCCAAGACAGTGATGACGGACGAAGATTCCGTCTTGAGACTACGCGTAGAGACAGCCAATCCCAGCCTCAAATATCAGCTAAACGCAGTAGAAAGAAGTGCCCTTCACGTTACTGCCATTCAAGAGAAAACGGGGCAACATCTCGGCATTCCCTCGATGGATCTTTAACCCATCAAAGCAGATCATCCAACGAGAGACAAGACAAGAAAAAAGAATCTTTGAGACGACAGCATCGTGAAATTCACATAAGACACCACACAGAGGACCATAGAGTAGGTAATACAACTGAATCAAAGAAGCATGGAGAACATTGGCTTAAGAGAAAACTCGATAAAAATAAGAGGCGCTCGAATGACAGAAGCAGCAAGTGTAGTCATGTTTTGGAGTCTAATAAAAAAATGGAAGACAATAGATCGAGATCACACAGTTTATCTCTAGTAGAAGTAGTAACAACGGTTGTACCATCAGCAGCAGCTATGAAGCAAAGTATCAAACCTGTAAAAAACGAGGATGAGACGGTAACTGCCAGGAAAGAAAGGGCTACGAGCAACTCAGGCTGCGGCAGTTATAATTCTGATGTAGACGTTATTTCAGATGGAGCACTAATGACTGATATTAATAATTTTGCTGTTTTCAATTCTTATTTTCCCTCTTCTCCAACTTGCAAGAAGCCAAGATCGTTCTATGAAAGAGTTGTCAATAAAAGTCCCATTGAGGACGATGCGGTGTACGGGCCAGCCTTGCCGCCTAAATTGGAGAAACGTTGTTATATGAATATTGAGACCCACAGATTTAAAGAAGGCGTGGTAGTACAAGTAGGTAAAAGTAAAAACGTCATTCCAACGGTATCACCAGCAAATATCAAAACAATGCGAGTTCAAGAAAATTGTAGAGATGACAAAGGAGCAAAAGAGAAACAGATAGTTGAAGATAATGCGAAAGATACACAATATTCTAAGGATGATATTAATACAGAGGATGTCGAAACAGAATTGTTTGGTCCAGCCTTGCCACCGTGCTTTCAGAAAACTAGGACAGTCCGAGGTCCAGCATTGCCCGACAATTTCAGTGTGCCTCTTAAAACTGACGGTTTAGTCGATGTTTCAAAATCCAACATTAAGAAAAATGAAGAGAATGACTATACTGACGACAATATTATTGGTCCTCTTCCTGCCAACCACTTGGCTTCCAAGGATAGTTACATTCAATTACAGCTTGAGTATAGAGCACAAAAGGTCAAGGAGAAATTCATGGATACAGTATGAAAGTTTATTATTGCATTTCTATTGACATGAAAATAAATTGCATTATGAGGTCATTGAAGGGTAGCTACAGTAAAATTAAAAGATTGAATGTTTTAACTTCGTTTTATTATCTGATTTGATGTGCTGTTTGAATGAAACGGGATCATTTTGCTTGTTGAATTTAACAAAAAGTACAGCAATCAACTACATAACGTTTAATTTTTCTACAACTTTTTTTTAATGAAAAATATTGCTAAGGAAAATATTTTATTCTTATACCAGCGAGTAATGACGAAAACTTGTTGACAATCGCTAATTCATTACATTTGTATACTTAATGTCTATTCTAATTTTGTATTGTGTTTTTGAGGTTGGTCCAGAAAAAAAGAACCGCGAGGAATGGATGGTAAAATTACCTCCAGCTCATGCTGTAGCTCTAGGTTTGGGTTTGATTCCTCGTAAATTTAAGACTCACGAAGGTCCTGACATGTCTGATAGATCTGTTTGGACAGACACACCAGCAGATAAAGTCGGAAAGCAAAAGGTAAACATTTTTTTATATATATAACGGCAATATCTAGCATACGGAGATACACTTTTTAATAATCAGCATAATTAATCTTTTTATTAATAAAACCGTAATCTGTTGGCTGTTTTTTAATAACAGGAGGAAAATCATTTTGTCCCATCCAAAGAATCAAATAAAAAAGCAAAAATTCCTGCTGAAGATAAGCGGGATCAAGGAGGAGAGACAGAATCGTTGCTTGATATACATTTAAAAATGAAAAAAAAAAAAAAGGTAATTCAAACCTTTTGGCACTTAACAAAAAAAAAAAATTTTTTTCTTAAATTTGCAGAATCGGCTAATTGTTTTAAATTGTAGAAAGCAGCAAAAGAATCTGAAGGACTGACTCGTAGACCTTTTGATCGTGATTTGGATTTACAGTTCAACAGACAAGACAAAGCTGAAAAAAAATTTTTTTTTGACAAAGCTCGGAAGCTCAACGATAAATTTACCCCTGGAAAAATCTGAAAAATCGTACGTTTTCATTTCAGCTGTAATCAATTAGACTTATGACGTTTAATAAAGAAGAAATCGATGGTTTCAACATTTTTACTTTAGATTTTGCACTGAGCTGATTAAAATTTTTGTTCAGAAATAAAATCAAGAGTTATTCAGTTTAATTTACAAATTAATTTCTTATTTATGCTCAAGCTTACACTACTTTGTTTTTAAAAATTATCTTCTGTTAATTCAACAGCAAAAATTTTTGAAATTTATTTTCTGTGCTTATGCTCTAATACTTTAAAAGGTAGAAAATGTTTCACATTGTTACAAAGTTCAATAAAGGAAATAATTATGTAGTCAGTGAAACTTCGACCTGTTCCGCACCCTATTGCGGAACTACGGCGCGTGAGGTGTACTGATCTGTAAATCAAAGTTCCACTGACTGTACATGTGTCTAAGTCTAAGTACAATTTCGGTATGAGCACTGTTTCCGTATCAAAGCGTCATTTCGTTTGCTTTAAATTGAATATCACGATGAATACATTGTAACAGCCAATTTCATACATTTATAATATTTGAATTTTTCGAATACTAACTAGAACTTTTGTTTACTAAAGTCTGCAGATTGCCAGACTCCATGTTATTTCACCCTTATCAGTAGAATAGCTTCAACTTTTAGCTTTAAAAAACATAATTTATTTTTATTAAAATTGTACAACATGTAAAAACAGATATAGAGATACATATTCATAAATACTAAGATTAAATCAATATATTTCTTCTAGTACTGAACTTTATTAAAATTACAACAAATCATTACATAAAACTATATATTTTATGAATACAAAAAAGAAAAAATTAACAAAAATAATAGAAGATACAAGGATACATAGTGATGTCCTTTTATACAAGTTATTAATAAGGTATATCTATTTTTTTATACCAATATAACAAAATTTACTGTTATTATTTATCATTATCATCATCATCGCCTATATTATTGTAAAATATTTTAACAAATTTATGATAATTTATCCTCTGGCCGTATTATTGCGTCATTATTTAACTTGTGTTTTAACATGCTGAAGGAATTCGTAGTAGCTGAGCGCGTTTTCAAATCTATCCTCGATAAGTCGCTCAGTGAACTCGGTCCTTAAATGTCCGTCGTCTCTAATGACTCGAAGTGTAGCAAAATAGGGCTTCTCATCCTGTAGTGTGGCAACAAAGGCCCTCAATCTCTCGGACTCTGGGTTTGACAGCTCTGGTAGACCGCACATCTCTTCGGGAATGGCAGCAAAGCTTGGTACACCGAGCACATTGAAACAGAACGATGGGTTAACGTTTTTGCTGACATAAATGAGGATCTGGTCGCAGTGATCTAGCAGGAATGCTCCTCGTGAGTCGAGTTTCTCGGCCGAGAGGTGAAGCTTGTCCGGGGCCGAATACAGCTGGCCGTCTTCCGTCTGAGTTATCCGGCGATCAAATACAAAATCATGGATGGCATAGAGATCTGGGTAGACGAATTGCACAAGCTGTCCGAGGGGCAGGGTCTTGAGCTGGCACATGGCGTAGAAACGGTCGTCCACCCTCGTGCTGATCCCAAATCTAAAAGCACGGCTCTTCAGCAGGGCGATTATGTACATGGGAAGGAGCTTAAGGTTGTCCGGAGCCAGAAGTCCTTCACCTGGGTAGGACTGGATCAGCTTGTACGCTGAGAGGTAATCGACCACCGCGTTAATGAGGGCCTCACGGGCGTCCGAAAGCGAGGACGAAACAGAACGATCGACGGCCATTTTGGCTAGAAGGCCCACGATGCACTGCTGGTCCGCCGAGTGAAGGACCTCCGACAGATTAGCCGTCGTCGGTAGGCAGAGGGTGTGCACACGTATACGGCGTTCGCCTCGGCTGGATGTGTACAAGAGAGCGGCCTGGAAGCAGACATTTGTCGCGTCGGTCAGGCTCTCATCGATGGTTAACTGCATGCCAAAGCCCGCATCTGGGTTTATGTTTGGCAGACTCAGAAGATCCGTCGAGCGTACAAAGAAGTTACCGTGGAAGGTGTGCACGCCGATGCCTCGGGTGCACCGTACCCTCATCACCGCCTCGAAACCAATTTTTCGGGTAAGGTAACGGCGCAGCATCCTGTCCAGAAGCTCGGCTTGGGGCAACCTAGAGGCTTGGAACAGGGGAACATTGTAGACGCAACCGCCGCTAAACTTGCAAATGCCCGATAGGCTCGCCAAATCGCTGTACTGGCAGTTCAGGAGAAACAAGTCGACGGCTACTTGTTGGATGCTGCAGTCTAAAGCCAGTCGCTTGTAAAAGTCCGTGGCAGGATTGAGCCAGGGTACGTCCTTGCCCGCTCGAGCATTTGGGTTCTCTCGCGGCTGCAACGATCCCGGGCCTATGTTAGGCAGGCACGTTTGAAACACGCTTACCCGGCCCCCGGTTGGCGATGTCAACTTGTAAGCCACTTGGAGGGCCGCGCCTAGGGCGCAGCTCGTTTCGTGGCTGTCCTTGAATATCTGAGGCAGCTGTATGAGCAGGCACTTCAGCAGCTCCTCACGCTCCTTTAGGTTGACCACAAGGTTGTCTGGACTGGGCAAAAAAACATCCTCTACATCCATCATGATCATGTGCTGGGGCTGTGAAACGTTGTCAGGCATACCAAAAAAATGGACTGCCGAATCCACTGCCAGTATGCCAATTTGGGTCCTGCTGTCACCCGGGATTCGGGACAGTTCTTCGGTTATAATATTGCACACAAGAGCAAGGTAGCCGCTTTCAATGGCCAACCTAGACACGTCAAAAACCATTATGTAGACGGCAGGCTGAGGTGGCCGTAACATGTACTCGCTCGGTGCTATAAACTCTATTGTGCTGGTGCGAATTTCTGGACGACGCGACGGATCACCGTATGACTTGGTTGCGGGATCGAATTGAAACTCGTCCGGCAGTTCGTTTACTTTGTAGCAAAGATTGCACTTCCAGCGCTTCGAGTCGATAAAGTAAACGAACGGGTTTATGTAGGTACGACACGATCTGCACCGCACTATCGTATTGCACTGAATGACCGGCAAGTGGTTCAGATCTTTAAACGGGTGGATGAGGATACCCAGTGGCAGTCGCGCTTTTTGTAACAAAGAATTCGATTCTGGTATCTTGGTCAAGGTGCAACGGAAGATATCTGGGCTACAATTAACTCGGTCTAGTAGATCCTGGTGGAGCTTTATTCTCGGTGGCTCAATCTTTTTGGCTGGCAAAATGTTTCTACATAGGATTATGTCGGTAGAGTCCATGCCCCAGATTTTGTTGAAGCCCTGCTTCGTCACGCTGGTGGTTTGCTGATGATTTATTTGACTAGCATAGGGTCTTGAGGCTAGATAATTAGCGGGTTTCGTATCTAACGACTGATTCGTTGTTGTATTGTATGTCTGAGGAGAGCTATTTATCTGCGCCATGGAATTTGGTAGAGGCTCTAGTTTTTGGCTATGTTGCGATGACGCCTCTGTAATGCTGATATATTGAAACTGATCTAGCAGACCATGAGTAGAATCGCCTCTTGGAATAGATGATATGCTATTAGGCATTGATGCTGCGTTTCCAGACATTAGTGCTTTGCTTGATATTAATGGTGCTTGTGGTAAAAATGCCCCTAAAGATCCACCACTCGACAATGATTGTGTGCCTAAAAATTTACTAGTACTTAATGGTGACCCATTTTTTATTGCATGTCTACTGTTCAAAGGTCTAATATTCACTGGTGGTCCACTACTGTTCATTGGTTGTCTTGAAGAAGAGTCAGCCTCATGACCAAGACCAATACTACCTGCAGGACTTCTGGGGCTAAATAAATGATGCTTACTGATCTGTATAGTTTCACTGTTTGACAAGGATGCACTGCTTACTGGAGATTTCATATTTAGTAACATAGTACTTACGGACCCCGTGGTTGCTGTTAGCCCATCACAACTAGTATATTTAAGAGCATTTATTTGTTGAGGGGAACTAACACTACTTACAGGAGATTTAATATTTGACACAAGGCCACTATTATTCACAAGCTGAGTAACCAATGTTGGATGATTAATGTGTTGAGAAGTACTTGGCATTTGAGATCTACGGTTCACAAGTCTATCAGCTTGTAAAAGGGCATTACTAATAAGTGGTACATTATCGAATCGAGATTCGTTGTTAAACGAACTAATGTTTGACTGTTGCCCACTAAATAATGAAGGACCAGCATTTGATGTTCGTGCAATAATTTGCTGAGAATTACTTGTCAACGGAAAGTCATTAATCAATAAATATCCACAAGGGTCTATATTGCTACTATTTGGCATGAGCTGCTGCTGATGATGAGCATTACTTGATGATGATACACTGCTGGACAATAATGAATTAGCCTGCGTCTCGTTAGACATAAGTGGTCTGTGACCAATTAATGAGCTATTAATTGACGTAGATGTGTTAGCACTGCTAGTTACTTGCCCACTGCTATTAAACTGCAAGTCACCACTGACCATGTGCGGTGAACTCTTAAAAACTGATCTGCTACTGTCAGATACAAGTTCTTCATCAATCTGAGAACTCATAGGCAGTAATCCTCTATTACTCAACTGCAGCCTTTCATGTGTAAGCCTGCTTCTCGGCACTGAACCAGTATTATTATTTGGTACTAAAGTAGAATACAAATGCCCATTTCTTGGTAAACTCTGGCCAGTACAAGCTGCTTGTTTCTGCTGTTGCTGTTCCAAATGGATGGATGCGACATGATTGATATTAGACAATGAAGCAGAAGTAGTTGCAGGGTCAGCGGTTTGTCGAATCATTGAGCTTAAAAAACAAGACCCTTATGACGACTTTTACTTTTATCAGCTGTTACTGCTGTAAGCTTCTGCTCTCCAAGAGATTAGATCCCTCGTATACTGAAAAAAATTAATAAACAGCCTTAACTTAAGTAATTGAATAGTTTCATACTTTAAGATGTTTGCAACGACTCATAGATATTTTTAACTTGGTGAGTATAGTATTACTACCTTTACCTTCATAAAAATTCACCGAGTTAAACACACACTCTCATCAATACAAGGAGTTGAAGACGATGTATTTTATTACCTTTGAACTTGAATCCTGAATACCGTGTAAATACGCATATATATTGTGGCGTTGTGGCTATATATACTTTCATTAATATACCATCATTTAGCAACCACCTTCCGTCCCTAAAATTTACCAACACCACCCCAGCCCGCAGAAAATAAAAAATTTGTAAACAAATGTATACAATTAACTTATTAAAAACTGCTCTTTTCGAAAATACAAACAGTAAAAACTGCTCCCTCTTATTTAATTAGTTAACACAAATTGAAGAATCTTGCGAAAGGCGACACTTTGCAAGTCGATATCTCAGCTAATAAACAATATTTTGTAATCATTCTTATTGACAAAAACTGCTCTCCTAATGTAAAAAATTGCTCTAGCATCTAATTGTCATCATTATCTATTTATCATTGGTACAAATCGATTTGCTGACACTGCTGTAACATCACATAGTTTCTCGGGGGTCTTAGCGTTTTGTATGTTGGCAGTTGGCTGCATCTACTTGTAAATATATACATACTCTGCGCGCGCCCATATGTGCTGCTTATACATAGATAATACTCATGGCTACTGTAGCAGACGAAATTAAAATAAAATAATTGTATACGCATAGACATAAGAAGTATAGACTGCTCATTCTCATGTACGGCAGTAAAGTACGCTTAAAAGGACACACAACATTGAACGTAGGTACCTGTCTCTCTCGAACATTGCCAAAGTGTGAGTGCCATCTCTTGTCCTCATTTTTTGTTGGCTCTGACAGTTATTTTTTCTTCTGAGTTGTTTGCTTAAACTTTTTAATGGAATATTATTATGTCATTGGTAAAACTTTAAAGTGCGAAAAATCAGTGATGATTTGGCATCAGAAATCAGCTGATTAATCAGCTGACAAATCAGCTGATTTTTCCAGCAGTGTTGCCTATAAATTATCATTATAATATTTGTGATCCAATAAAGCAAGTTTTGCTAACAATTCAATTGAGCTTTTCCTGTCTTATAATATACTACCAGCTTAACAACACATTTACTTCACTGCAGCCAACTCAGGAAAGCTGTCAGCTGCTAATAGTCCATTACTCGTAAAGGTACTGATGGTAAATTACTTTTAAGACTGTAACTTCATTATAAACACTGCTAAATACAAACGCATTTGCTGTCCGCACGCTACACGCTGCATTCAAATTCTCGAGCGCTAAAGTTACGTCAAAGAGCCACCACGTAACAATTGGGGGCTAGTCCTAAAAAAACACTACCTTTTACACATTTACATAGACCAGTCGAAAATCTGTTCAACCTAAAAGTTGATATCCAAAGGGTCATTTTTGATATTATATGTAATCGAACTCGTAGATTACGGGAAAAATAGTAAAAAACGTAGATTCTTAGTCAAACTATGTAAAATAGTGGCTAAAAGTTTATTTTGCAAATTTTGCGTAAATGGTAAGAGATAGGATGTAAATAAAAATATCAGCGTGTAGAGCGGAAAATTCTCTATCGATTTGGTCTTTCATTTTTTTTTTGACCAGCGCAAAATTTCGAGTTAAAAAATTCTGAAAGTATTTTGGCACGTACCTATGAGAGTGAGTGAGACAGAGTGAGAGATCACACTAGCAGACGATTGCAGGCACGAGGAGAGAGGAGAGAGCCGGTGCTATATATATGTAGCTCTAGTAGCTGCGACGCACTCGATCGCCTTCCGGCTGAAATATCCACTTCAGCTTTTGGCCCGAAAATTTTTCTAAGTCCTAATAACATTAATACGGGGAAAAAAAATTTGTTCTCCAGACATGATGTTTTTTATACATTATCTACGATTTCCTAGCGAATAAACATAGTCTCCAGTAACATTTTTTTCCAAATTAAAATCTTATTTTTCTTATTTTATTGGTTTTAAAATTTTATTTCGTTGTAGAAAATATGTTATGTATTGCATAGCTGTGCGGAGGGGCAAGAGAGGGGCGAACAGTTGAACACACGATGGATCGGCTTTTTATATTTGAATTGCGACACAATTTCAAAGTCCCCAAAAAAAACTGATAATGGTTAAATAAAAAAGTCTCTGAGAAATGATTTTTGAATGACATTTTCCAATGAAAAGAAATAGAGAACAACTTATTGTGAAGCATACGATCAAAAATAAATATTAAATTGATAGTAAACAAAATTTATTTATTCGCAAAAATCATAAATGCTACTATCTGGAGTATACATATTGAGGGAGGACTGAGTATGGTACCCCACATGACCTTCTTCCGTCGTTTCCTCTTGCATGTCGACAACGTCATTAATCACATCATCGAAAGAGTCTTCATCAATTACTGGTCTCGTGGTGGAACCATTTTCACAATTGTCTCCGTTGCAATTTTTACACATACGTGTACACATCAAACCTGCTTTTTTGCACGTGCATTGTTTTTTTTGACAATTTTTACGACAGGAGCAGAAAATCTGTGAGGAAGAAAATTTAATATTTAACTAACTAACGTGACCAAGAATTTGCCTTTATTTTGACTAAACACTAATGATATATCATTGCATACCTGTCGCAAAACGTCATTAGGAGCTGGCGTTTGTGTGATTATTATCGGAAATAAAATGGTCTTTGTCTTTCTCCACCCCCAATGTGTGGGCTC